AATGAGCATACACCAAGATTGTTAAGAATAAATATAGTAATTTTTAAACTTGTAGTCTGTAGTAATTCTGTAAATATCATTGTCCATTTTAACAAGATCGTTAACATAAAAATATTTTACCAAAATTCTTAATAAATGTGAACTTTATATAATAATTCTCTATAACTGTATACGTTTGTGTAAACGACCTAAATTACCATTTCAGAATTAAATAGTGCCTTAAGGCAAATTCCTGAAACTTCCGTACAGTAATTAAAAATCTTGGTACGGAAACGAAAAAAATTACACAAAATGTGTATACATTTTATTAAATCTCTATAAAATATCTGATAATTTGATGTATACAAATGTCCAATAAACATTTTCGACCGCCAAATGACATTTTTAACGTATTTTTATTGAGAGTCCATAGCAGCTGGACCTGCTTTCCAAAAATTGATCAGTTCTTCATCTTGTCAATACAAGTAAAATGTTTTTGAATTATTAAAATCGGACGCTCCGTTCTTTTAAAAACTGAGTTACCGTTTTTGGCACTTTTTGTCCAGTATCTTTGGAACGGCTAGACCTGCCTTCGCCAAAAACTAATCAGCACGTCTCCTTATCAATACGAATCGAATGTTTTTGAATTATTCAAATCCGAAAATCGTTCCCGAAATCGTCGACGAAAATTTGTATCCGAACACACATACATCCATTTTTTCTAAGATATGCCAAAATCTTCAGAAACCTTAGAAACGTAAAGATATATAAAAAAATTTATTTTCGATTTTTTGCCATTACTATAACTTGCCCTACAGGAATTTAATTACAGATATTTTCTGTAGCAGGTTTGCGAGGTAGTTCATCCCGGTTCTACGATCATAACCCCATAAACCCTTATTATAAAACAAACAAAAAGTCTCGAATGGGTGGGTCGTGCCCGCGGTCCCCGTCCGGCCAGTAAGTGAAAAATGCATATCCAGCGCATCGAATGGTCGACGATTCAGGGCTCAGGCAGCTGTTGACAAGCCGAGATTTACCCACGTGCTCGAACAGGGATGCTGTCAAATGCCCAAATGCATTAAGAGAGAAAACGATATTATTATATAAACCAATGTATCAAAAAAGGACAGGGATACCGCGAAATTTGTCACATGTTACAAGTTTATCTGTATATAAATTTAAAACACCCCACAAGAATCCAATCAGTTTGCAATTAGAAACCGAAGCAACAACAGGATAACTCTGATAGTTATATGTAATAAAAATAATTATTTATATTAACATATCCTATGTTAAAATGTTTCCTATAATTCCACAAAAAACAAGTGCGCCAAATTTAAATTCGGTAGCCAGTGATCTTTTAGTTCAAGTGAATTTGAAACATATGTATCAAAAATTGGAGACTAGCAGAAAGGACATGAACGAAACTACTGCTGGAAACAATATTCCAGTTGGCACCAGATCGCCTGTTTGGCTGGTCGAAGATATGAAAAAACATTCAAAAATCAAATAAGGTAAATCAAGTGAATTTTAACATAATAAAAGATTTAAAATATTATGCATCAGATTGAAAAATTTATGGTTGTCCTAAATTGAAGAGCTACCAAGAGTTGAACTAAGTTGAATACTATGGTTCAGCCAATAAAAATATAATTGAAATTAGCGACCAATACGCAAAACTGTATGAATCAAATTTTGCAGATAATGAAAATTTTAATAAATATTTATTATTATTCCAGATGTTATGAAATTCTATGTCATAAAATAGTGGATATGAAAAAAAATAAGAATAAAATGTTGTATTCCAACAGCTTTTAACAGTAATAGTGTTGCAAGTGCAAATTTACTTTTTTACCTTTTCATACTATTATATTATACATATTTAAAAAAAAAATCATATCCAATGATGATGGCACAGTGGTCGGTCACCAAAATTTTGTTCATGGGTCATTCTTTTACAAACCGTACACCAACCATACCTTGACATTTTAGAATTGGCTGAAATTTTTGTATAGATATTATAGATAAAATTATTTGACACGTATTTCAGGATTTTGCGGGCAAAAAATATTTTTCGTTGATATTTACGATTGAAATATTGCCGATTTTCTCAATTTTTATGAACTTCCTCTGCATTATGTTAATTATCTTCAGTTGTGTTGATCAGTATTGTTTTTTTTATTATATAAATTATGAACTCAACTTTGAAGTAATTTAAAAAAAATAATGTTTTTGCAATTATTTCAACACTAATAACAATTGTTTACATTGATTTTACATACGCGCGCCCCAACTTAAATCGATTGCGTAAAAAATCATATTGTTTTTTTTTTTATCTACTACAAAATTATTTTTACAATTCGATGGGAAGGCTGTTACATCGGAAGATATTAAATGGGCAATTTAATTCAAATTTCAAATCAAATTTTTTTACTAAAATCCGTACGATTTGTAAAAGAATGACCCTCATACATCTTAACATCAAAATTATAAGATTCTTCCATTAATGAGAAAAATAATAGTGTTTAATATTGTACACATAATGCAGTTGCATAATAATATATATCATTCATTCTCTGACATATCAAATTAAATAAATTATTATAATTATTACCTTTTTCAGTATGTTTCTTCACTACATTTTCACAACGGTTATATCCAGCCCGCGGCTCCGAGTGCACACATTGTTTGGCCACAAAATTTACCAATTGCTGGTGATATACAAAGTCAAAATGTTGTATTGGATCTCCATAGAACAGTTGATCTAAATTTTGGCCTAACTGTAAGATCAGTTAAGGATATCACTTCGGGGGAAAAAATCCAAATGTGGTTTTCTGAAGAAATATCTGCTTTAATTTCAATGCCATTTCTCACACCAAAGAATATTAAAGGTAAATATTACACTGAATTTGTATAAATCACTTCACATTGTTTAAGCAAAAACTAGATTAAGCAAAAATGCTGATGAAAATATGTATGAGGGCCATGAGTATTTTTTTACATTTTTCTTTACTGATTTATCATATTAAGCTTGAAGTGTTATTTATTATCTTTCATTTTCCAGATCAAAATCGTTACTCATGTCATACCTGCAGTAAAGAATTTGAATATCCAAATCCACTAAAATTACACATAGCACTGGATTGTGAAAGGCTATCAATTGAATATATCTGGGAAAATATACACAGTGCCTTAATAAGTTTATGTAACCAAAACATTGTGCCTCTGAATTTAACATTGAAATCACCACTAAGAAATTCAGTATTGTCAAGTGAAACTGAACCACAAAATCAGGAAGCCAACCGCACCTCTGCATTTGTGCCTTACTTCAATCATACCAACTCATTTAAAACATCCCCCAGGCTACCACTATACCAAAACCAACAAATGCAATATGACCGTTTAGTATCATCCTTACCCATTAGAAATATTTCTGATATTAATTATCAGACACATGCTTCACAAATGGAAACTATAGTAAGCAATTTAGGAAAATCAAACAAAGGGCACTTATGTTTATATTGTGGTAAAGTTTATTCAAGAAAATATGGACTGAAAATCCACATTAGAACACACACAGGATTTAAACCATTAAAATGCAAATTTTGTTCAAGAGCTT